CTGTCAGCTCTTGAAGACAACTCTATTCTCTTCGTAGGATTTTTTTCCTTCCCCTTGGGAACTTGGCTGAACTTGTTCTCATACGGAGAGCTCTGCCATGGCTGGAGCACTCGGGTTAGATACTTAAGGTGTTTCTGTTCTCTGCATCAATTCTAAGCGGAAAACTTGTCCTGTGTAATTCCAGCTCTGACTGATAGACACGAGCTCTGCTGGATGGTGGTTTCTGTTCAGCATGGGTGGGATGGTTCTGGTGAAATAGCTCAGTTCTGGCCCAAACCTTTGCCTAAAACCAAGCATAACTTGATGAAGCTCCAGAAAAGGCTCTAAGTTTTGTGTAGCTTTGAGGTTGGTTTCCAGCAGATGTTGAAACACAGGGAGGATGTCTTCTTGTGTTGGAGGGAGTTTTTATTTAAACTGCGAGCTAGAACTAAAACTGTTCAGTCTAGTGTGGGACATACTATGGCAAGATTCCCAACACTGTTAGAGTGACATGAGTTTAGCATTTTGTCTTAAATCCAAAATTCCAACAAGCTTTTAAGCTTTAAAGCAGATTTTGACAATGACTGTCCCTGTAACACATTCCTGTGACTTCGGAATAGGTGACGTGGGTACTACTTGTGCTTCTTGCCCTAGAAATATGAGGTCATTTTAGTTGGTGTTTATTAACTACCAGCCAGCTGACACAATCAATACCATGGAATCCCAGACTGGTTTGTGTTGGAAGGGACCTTAAAGCTCACCCAGTTCCAACCCCTGCCATGAACAGGGACACCTTCCACTAGAGCAGCTTGCTCCAAGCCCCTGTGTCCAACCTGGCCTTGAACACTGCCAGGGATGGGGCAGCCACAGCTTCTCTGGGCACCCTGTGCCAGCGCCTCAGCACCCTCACAGGGAAGAGCTTCTGCCTAAGAGCTCATCTCAGTCTCCCCTCTGGCAGGTTAAAGCCATTCCCCTTGTCCTGTCCCTACATCCCTTGTCCAAAGCCCCTCTCCCCGTTTCTTGTAGCCCTTTTAGGCCCTGGAGCTGCTCTAAGGTCTCCCCTTAAGGAGCCTTCTCTTCTCCAGGCTGACCCAGCCCAGCTCTCTCAGCCTGGCTCCAGAGCAGAGCTGCTCCAGCCCTCGCAGCATCTCCATGGCCTCTTCTGGACTCGCTCCAACAGCTCCACATCCCTCCTGTGTTGGCACCCCCCGAGCTGAACTCAGTATAGCTGGCAGAGCATTGAAATCAAAGTTGCTTTTTAAACATCACACCAGCCAACTTGACTCTTCAAGGTTCTTGTTGTAATCTTACTTTTTATTGCAAATTAGCCCATCAAAGCTATCTACAAGTAGCTGCAGTGGAGTATAGCTGTGCATTCAAATACAGGATAGCCATCTGAACTTCAGTAATTACATTGTAGTAGTTTGGCTGAGCAATTTAAATGCCATAAATCTTTCTGTCAGTGTAAAAATGCCTGTTATCTGTCATCCAGAAATGTGCCCTTTTCCCCTTCTTCTTTTAAGCAGGTGGTTGCCGTGGAGTCTCTTGTTGAAGCGCTGAGGTTTCAGGGCTCAGCTTATGACAAGCTGGTGGTTAAATGCTGGGGATAACACACTTTGAGAAACATTTTTTAGAGATTTAGTATATGAATAATGTGGTTTAAATATATATCTAAAAAAGGTTGTCAGCAAAGCAAAGCCTGCCTTGGGAAAAGAATAAATAATAACAAAGTGTCAAAATATTACAACGAAAAAATACAAACAGAAGTTCCTGTAAATAGCATTTAAAAGTTCATTGACAAATATTTGACTTGTGTTTTGTGCTGTGTCAACATTAGTTGAAACTCGTGCTATGTTTACCTTTGGTAATACTTTTTTTATGCCCTCTTCCTTAAGTAGGTTATTTATTTTTAATGAAACCCTGTAAAATCCATTTTTAACTCCCAGGAAATACTGCAGGCATCTGAGCATAAGGGTTCTCAGTGTAACAGCACAGCAGTAACATTGCATCGACCTCCTCAACTCTAACAGCTCTCATTTAGCAGCTATTACTCCGCTTAGCTTGGTACCCTGCTGCAGTCAGCATTACACTTGGATCTCCTGGCCTGGCTTGTAGAGCAGCAGAGCACCCTTCTTTTGGTGGTGATGGGAAGTGTGGGTGCTCAATACATATGGAAATTGAACCTGGTTTTGGAGCACCTTCAGTAGAGACCTTGAGTCCTGAGATCAACACCCACACGAGAGGGCAGCTTCTGAGTTTGTAGAGGAGCCCAGGCTCATGCTAACTGCCCATCGCTTAAGAAACTGGGATTCAGGACTGCTGTGACTAATGTGTTTGGGGGGTGGCAGGGACTTAAAGGAAGATGAAAAATGGTTATGCACTAGGAAACCTGGGAGTTAAGAGTAGATCAACACTTGAATTCCATTCCTGGCTCTTTTCCCAATAGCCATACAACGCTGAACACGTCACTTGTTCTCTCTATGCCTTCGTTTGTGTTCTGTGAAATAGGCTTAAGTCTTTTTTTTTCTTTGCGGCTTTTTCTGTTAGGTGTTTTCTCTCCACCTTTCTGATGGCAAGCTGTGAAGGCTCCAGATTATGAAGTTGCCGCTGTACCATGGAATTAAATGGCAGTTTTGTCCATGGATTTTTACATTACCTGCAGTTAGGGCACTCACAGTCCTGTTTTAGCACTACAGAACAATGCTAATTCAGGTGTTGCTTTAGTACAAATAAGAAAAGCATAAACCCCTGGCATACATACTTAGCCCATAATGTAGACTGGTTTGGTCTGTCAAGCAGTTGTTTGAATTAGTCTTCAGTGGCACAAGGCTTGTTTTAGCTTAATCCTTAATTTAAATTAAAACCTCTTCATTTTTCAGTGTTCTGGTTAAAACTCATTTGAATTCTATAGCCATTAGGCATCTAACCCCAAATATTTTACTTGGAGTCAAGAAGTAAGAATCGCAGAGTGATAAATACTTTATATTTGTTAGGAAGACATCCATCAGACTGGGTTTTTACACATTTTTGTTCCCCATAACAGAGTTTACTATGCAGATACACACAAGTCTTTTGATAACAACAGTGGGAATGGTTCTGGTTTTACTCAAGTTTTATTAGACTCTTTTTGAGCAATAATTCAGCAATAATCCCACAGTAGCAAATAGTTCTGTAAGGGGCTGTGGTCTCCTGTGGGCTTATTATAGAGAGGGAGGTATTTCTTTACTTGGCATTACTGCATAGTTTAGCACTATTTCATTCCAGGAACACTGGAGAGTTTGTTTCTGATTGCAAGGTATCGTTGCATTTCAGTTTTAGGAATGGAGCGGTTTGAAAAGTTCCTGGGTTGAAGGTGAAAGGGGTTGGTTTGCTCAGCGTTGGCTGCTGCCAGTGCTCAGTCTCTGTGTGTGTGGTTACCCATTTCCCAAAGCACAGAGGTGATAAATACAAATACCAACATGTGATATTTTGCATTTACTCTGCCAGGGTATAAACAAAGCTCTCCTTGGATGTGTTCCCTTTTCAATAATGAAATATTTAAGAGCTACACAGAGCTTTTCATTTTCCATGTGAAATCAAGCTCCATCGTGCCTGCTAGCGCAGCCCGGGTATGGGACACCCAGATGTTGTCCCAGAACGCTTCTTCCTTCAGGGGCATTCCCCCATGACGAGCAGAGCTCCTCTTCCTCAAGCCATGTACAGGACTGGGATGAAGAGGAAATGATTTTGTGCTTCTGCAAAGGGCTGTTTCTGACATATCAAAATGTTACCGTTCTGCGTTAGGACAGAAGAAAGAATATTCCCAACAAAATACTGGAATAAAATTGTTGATGTCATTCCACGTCCCAAAATAGCTGTTGCAGGAGCACAAAAAAGAATACAGGATCTCTCCATTCTAGAATGTGTTACAACTGTGGTCACCAGCTATTTGAGTGGGAGCTGGAAAACACGAGGTCAGTTGAGCTAAACCCTGTATGATAATCTGGGTTTGTCTTTGTTGGGTTGAGTGGTGGCTGCAGGAGGCATTTTAGGTATTTGTCGTTCTCTGGATATTTCTGTACTTAAATTCTCTCTCCATGTGAGAAGTGGTTACCAGCAGCCTCGTTGCCCGCTGATCCTTCATGGGAGCAGAAATGCAGCTTGTGCTCCCCTGGAAGAGATTGCAAATAAACTGAAGTAAGGTATTTTCTCTGAGACAGGCAGTCTGAGGTAGATATGTGTCTTGGTGCAAAATTACTGGTATCATAAGTTTATTCGAGCACATCTAAACAGAGAAAACAGTAGGAATTAACCCCCAAAACAATCTTTAAATTTGAAGCAAGGTATTTCTTCTTAATTCATTATCTCTCTCTGGCAGTAAGAAAAACTTATTCCAGAACAGTTTGGTTCTATTTCTGAAGTGGTTTTAGTTAGCTCAGTATTAAGAACTTCAATTTCAGGGTAAAATAGTCCCCTCAGTGAACTAGTTGGGAATAGCAATTCAGGAATCAGTGTGTAGACAGCCTCTGTCCCCTTTAGAGATTTCTCTTTTTTTTTAAGCCCCAGTCTGCAGGATCACATCTGCATGCTTATTTAAACCATCATTTCCTTTGCACAGAAGCACTACTATGGCTAAAATTGAATTCTGATATTTAACTGAATGAAATTGCTTGCAGATGACTGTTGGAAAGAGAAACAAACCACATCCTTGTGTGCTGCTGCACTTGAGAGGATTTGCAAAATACTATATTAATGCAAAGAACGCGGCCCCCCTCTGAAAAATGTGACTGAATGGTTTGATTTTGCTCATTCAGATTATACCAACGCGTTTCTCTTCAAAAATCATGTCTTGTTATTGTTGTCTTACAATTGCAGAGAGCAAATGTATTCCAAAGTAGCACTGTCTTTTGTTTAGATTCATACTGAACCTACCACAGCGTCTGCGCTGACGCTCTTTCAAGGACAGATGAAAATTGCCACGAAGGAGCTCAGAAATAATTGCAATGGAAATTAAGGATTTTTCATGCTTTTTGCTGCTTTAGGAGACTGGAAACTTCTTATGTCTAAGTTGGACTCAAGTAGGAGCTGCAAAGTAAGCTGTGCTGGTCCACTCTGAACTGCACAGCAATCACATTGCCAACATGAATGAGAATGGTTGCTCACAGATGAATGCAGAAGGGAGGGGAGGCATGAAGGGCAGCCATTCCAAGTCACTTGGCAAGCCTTTGGCAACAAAAGTGCTTTAAGCCACGAAACACTCAACTTTGTACATCTTCACTGATTCCTGGTGTTGATTTTTCAGTTGTTTGTCTGTAGTTCAGGTTATGGGAGCTGCCCTTCCTCACGTTTGCCTTGCTAAATTCAAACATGAGTCAAATGGTTCTGCCAATAGTGTTTTAACGCTGTTGTAGTCTAACTGCATCCCCTTTACAGCCAGACAGAGCAGGAACTGCTATAAACTTTTGCCGTTTTCCACTCTGGTATCATCTCCAGTGCCATCTACTACTAAAACCAGAACTCTTAAGGTAGAGTTCTTCTTTTCTGCTGATACTCAACATGTAGCAGTTTTGTATTGTGATCAGAACGGCTGGTTTCCAGACTAAGTACCATTTTCTGCTGAAGGACCTATGCCTGGGAAAGGGCTGATTGTTTTGGTTGAACTTCTGCGACTCCTCTTAGAGGCTGACATTTTGGTGGTAACCTGCCTTATGTTCTTATTATAGTATTTGCAAGCTTTCTGTAGGCTAATCTTTAAAGCTGATCTCTCCTTTGCCTTTAATCTTTTTGGTTTTACCCTTCTTTTTTCTTCTATTTATAGGTTGTGGCTTTTTTTTTTTCCATGAGATATCTGAGCTTTTGGAGCTGTTTCAGTGATTCTTGTTCCAGCCTCCCCCACTTGATGCTGTTCTGCTTTTGCTCTTTTGTTTTTCGCTGTTCCCTTGGAGGATTTTTCTTCTCTGCAGTTTATTTTGTTTCCTCATCATCTTTTGTTCCTCGTTCTGCTTTTTCTTACCATGTTCCTCACATTCAGCTTCCATCCCTGGTTCCCTTCTCCCCTCATTTCTCAATTCTTTCTGCTACTCTCTAGACATACAAAGAAATTGGGGGGCCCGCTGGTATCAGTTCTTTTTACCTCGATCCCATTTCCCTTCTTTTGTCTTCTGTCCCCATTGAAAAGATCACATTTCTTCCTCTTTTCATAGTGCAGTAGTTGGCATCCATTTAGTTTGTTCTGGTTCTGTGGTGCTTTAATAGTGAAGTGGTGGGGAACTACCATAGGAAAGGGAAGGTAGGCAGAAAGTGTGTTGAGGTGTGTCCTCCCACCCTCTGAAGCCACCTTTCTCACCCTGGGTGCTGTGTGTGTTATGGTTTCCTTTCAGATAACATCAGTAATAAAGCTTATGGTACAGCAGAAAGCCCGCTTAGGTTTTAGGGCTTGTTTCCAGGCTCAGTTCACCAAGCTACTGGGTCCTCATGGTTACCAGTAATTCTTACCTTAAGAGCAGATGTTTCAGAGGGGGACTCAAGGAGAAGCTTCCGTAGCTTTAAGAAACGATCGTGTTCTATGAATTACCATTCTGCTGTAGATGAGGTAATTAATTAGGCAGAAGAAAACAGTCTTTAGTACTTTGCTGGGATAATTAACAATGGTAAATGTGCCATTGGTAATCTACTACAGTACACTGGGAACAGCAAATTTCTGTTGTTCAGCATCAACCTGTGAGCTTTTTATCTGTTTGCAGGTTTTCTTTCTCCAATAATCCTTTATCAGCTTGCACTAAGGTGAAGCGCATGAGCATGGAGGCCTTTCTCAAGATGCTTACTTAACCTTTAGAAAACCACTGACATTTACAGGAGGTGCCTCCTTCAAGCCAACATTCCGCTTTTACAGCGCGCTCCTGTGCGTGATGAGCAGTCTCTGAAGGCAACCAGCACAGCATTAACAAAGCCTCGCAGGATGAGAGTCCCTCAGTGTGGTTATTCTGTGAACAGTTTTGCAGGAGAAAGACCTAAATGTAGATCATGTTCTTAGTAAATCCTCAGCACTCGATTCCCAGGCTGTTCGGCCAAGGAGCCTGGCCACGTTGGCACCGCAGTGGTTGATCTCCAGAGATCCCAGTTTATTCTGGCCAACTGGAAGGGTGCTGTGTTGTGCTTCCTTGTCTGAAAAGTTGGGGTTTTATGAGTTTAAGATGCAGTTTTGTGATTCTGATGCTGAGGTTGTCTGCTGATGGCCAAAGTGGGGATCATGCTAAACTTCAGGAAGTCACGGGGGTGTATATATCACTAGTACTTAAATCAGTTGGAGTAGCCTGTCATCTCTGAAATCAGACAAGTATGAAGCTGGATGCTTGGCTTCTAATCATGTAGCAGATATAGCAAGTTAAATACAATTTCTTTAGTACATAGTAAATTAAGAAATGTTAAAAAGAACAGGTTGTTAGTAGTTTACACACAGTTCCACATGGCCAAGTCACTGCTCCTGATGAGGCCCCTCTGCTTTTCTGAACAGGCACTGGGTAGTGATGTGACTCCCTGGTGTTTTATCCAGTGATTTGTATGAGAAGTTCATTTCAGTGCCTTCATTTTTCCACTGGTAGGTGGCATGGTGTGAATGAGTGACAAATTTGTGGCTTATGTGTTAAATATTTTATATATACATGTATCTTTCTGAAATAGTGCATCTCCATTGCTGCCTTTCATGCACATCTCCACTAAGGACTAAATAGACCAGGGTGATTCGCTGGGGGAAGAGGAAGAGGGGAAAGACACAGCTGTAAATAAGGTTTCATCATACAGCTGTGCTGAAATTACAGCCAAGGTTTAAATGCTTGGTTGTTGAGATACTTACCAGATGGCAAACCAAAATGTAGTGCTGTGACTTGGAGGCATCCTCTAAAGGTGTCTTTTAGATATCTCTAGTTACCATATACTTAGAATTTAGTAATAATGTTGGTGGGTTAAAGTACTGCACATTTCATGGAGTTCAGTGCAGGGAAGAAAGAAAATCTAGTGAAGTCTGTCAGTGAGGAATAGCAAAGTGAATTTGGATGCTGGGAACCTTTTGATGTATTGGGTTAGGAAGGGAGTCATTAACAACAGTCACATATATTATGCCATACCTGCAAACAGTTTGCCAGGGAAGAGCTGACAGGTGGTAGAGCTTAAAAATGCCATTCTTCTTCCTGTAGAGGGGGCTAGAAGCATAGTAGGAAGTGTGTTAGATGGGTACTTCCCTTTCATTCAGTCAGTGTGGCAAAAGGGATGATAAAGCTTTGTACCACCAGGAGAAGTGAATCCTTTTCTGCCGGGCTGACACAGCAGCATGTAGTAAGGGAGCATGTTAGTCATAGCCATTTCATGGCTGGTTAAATCCTATGTGTGCTTCCCTTTGGGTTTCACTAAGGGGGAAAGCAATTAATAACCCATTTCTGGGAAAAGGAAGAAAAATCCCTGTTAGGGATGTTCCAAGGTGTTCTGTTCTTTCTCAGAGGGGTCGTGAGACTTTCCCATCAGGGCTGCCTGGTTGTAGAAGAGGGTGTCCTTTATGCTTGGAATCAACTTGGAACCTCACCTCCACCTGACGCTTGTGAGATTTCTCCACTAACACGGAGCTACTCATCTTTCTCTAGCAAGGTGCCAACAGAAAACAGCTAACTTCTGTACCCTGGTGTTTATGCTGGATTTTGGGTTGGTTTTCCTGTGCAGTTGTCTTTGCCCCTGCTGAGACTGACCTTGCAAATAAAGAAAAGGAAGCAGAAACTGCCCTGACTAACCGCTTAGGCTTGATTTATTTTCTTTTTTTAAGAAATCATTATTTAATTCTTAAATCAGCTAGAGTGTCAGTGTCCATGGAAGCTTTCAGTTGTACTCAATGAGAAGTCACGTAATTAATACATCTAATTCTGTGGTTTTGACCTTTTCCTGGGCTTTGTGGCCTTTGCCTGACTGCTGCCTTTTGGAGGTAGTTTAAATGCTGGGGGTTTTACTAGCATTTCTCTCAGGAGGATGCTGATAGCCCAAGAGCAGCATCACTGCATCAGGAGGCCAGAGAGGCAGATGGAGTATGAGTGCAAAGAAAAGGGAGAATTCCTACATTTAGAACAGGATGGGTTTTTTTTTCCAGGTTACTGGTACAGCACAAAGAGAAACTCAAAGTTTTGTCGAGTTAGGAGGCAACCCCACGAGCACTTTGTGCTACAGTGTCTTTGCTTATGGTCGATTACCTTGTATGTGTTCTGCTGGGGAGTTCTGTCAGGAAGAAATCCACAGTGGTATGTCTTAGCCTTGTGTTTGCAAAGAGTATCTTGTGCCTTTACAAATAGTAGTCTTTAGCTTTAGATGAGACTTCCTTTTCTAGAGTGTTTTCTTGTTTAAGATGAATGGGGAGAAATGAAACGAGCTACAGCTGATGACAGGGCTGCATTCCACACTCAAGAGACACAAAGGTGCAATACTGCCAGGCTGGCAGAGATGCTTTGCTCCAGTTTGCTGGAGACGGACTCTTGTCTTTGCTACAGCAGTCCCTCTGCTCCCTGCTTTTCAGAAACCGCTTAGCATCCCTCCCTCCTTCCCTTGTCCTCTCTATGCTATGCAAGCCTTTCACATACCCTTTGGCTATTTGTGCTTGGTTCCCAAGGGCCACCCTTTCTAGCTCAGTTCTTAAGTGTCAGTCAGTCCTGTCTCTGCACTGATTTGTGCCCTTTTCCTGTTCCATTCTCCATGCTCTCTTCTTCAGGCTCTTCTACATCTCCAAGGTGCCCCGTGCAGCCCCAGGGCTTCGTTAGGCTGGTCCAGCTATTTGCTGAGGGCTGTTTGAGGTTTCTCTTAAAGCTGTTGTGTGCCAGTCCTGATGCTTAAGGCTTCCTGGAGCTTTGCAATCCTTTTCTTTCACCTCTCCTGGCTGTTCTCAGCCTCCTGAGGTGACTTACACCTCCTCTCTGTCCATCAGATGGTTTTCTTCATAGTTTTTGCCTCTCCATGTTGCAATCTTGCTCTGGCTGCCTGTGCCAGCGTTCCTGGGTGGAGGTGGCACGCATTGCTGCCTCCTGAGGTGATCACAGCAGCTTTCAGTCCTCTCTTTGCAGAGCTGCATATTTCTCTGGGAAGTCATTTAAAGTTAAACTTCTTTTTTTCCTTGATTATCTTCATCCTCTGAGTTTTGATACTGCCAGGTTCCCTCAAGTAAAGATACTCCGTGTGCTTAATGTCATTGAAACCACAAAGTAATTGTATTCCTTTGCCATCCATTCCACATTAATCCTCCAGGAGAAGTGTTTCACTCATCAGCTGAGCCAGTGGTTTTAGTATAGACTGTGAAACCCTCAGTCTTTAATTTTCTGCATGGAAGC